ATTAAGTTTCACTTCCTGTTACCTTTGAAAGGTCTTCAGCTACACAGGAGAAAGGAACAGTTTTTCCTTACTAGAAGTCTTTATTATCTGTTTCATCCTCTCTTAAGCAAGCAATTTATCTGATTCAGATCCAGATAGATCTTATATTGACCTGTTTGCAAAGACAGCAATGTGTGCAGACTGAAAAAACAGTGGAGACCTCTGCCCTCCCTCACAAAGTTGTTACCTCTAATGTAAGCTCTTCAGTGTCATTGCAAAAGATGGTATGGCCTTGTCTGCGCTGAGGTCTGTAACCTTCAACTATTGTCTTTAGTACCATTAGATGACATGATAACAGGAACATTAATGGTTTAGGGCTGTTTTCCCTAAAAACCTCAGCCTAGAAAAGGCTATGAATGGTGGAAAAGAATCTGCACAGACATAAAGTTAGTGCTCAAGCCTTTGAAGGGAGGAATAACGTTGACCTCCGTAAAAATTCTATTAGATACTGGATTATAAAATGCCTTGAAATGTTTGTACAAAGGATGTGATGTACATGAAAGGTAGACAATATGATTGCACAAAGAAGTTAATAAACCACACTAAATTTCACATCAGCAAAAACCAAGGGAAGGCATTTCAGTATCTTCGAATTCTCACTACAAGCAAACTGCCCTGGTAATTTTAATGGGTAAAAAATTACATGAATTTCAACAGACCCTATTTTTTAGTCAAATTAGCAATTTGAGATGCTGCAGCATCTTTTTCAGCATGTGAACCACAGGCTTGTCATTTCCCAGACAGTACTAATACCAGCCTGGTAATTATGTATCTGTCCCTTGCAATCAGCACTGCAGCTTTCTTTTCATACTAGAAAGATTATAGGGAAAAAACACTTGAGAGTACAGGAAGGAACTGTCACCTGTGTAATATGATTGGTTAATGGCTGCATAAAGAAAGAACAGTTTCTTAATTTGTATATATAGTTGGTGAATAAAAATGCTCTAGTTCATTTGTCTCTGACTGAACGGAGCTGAAGTTTTGGGTTCAAATTCATTCTCTGTTACTACAGTATCTAAGTAATATGTATATTATTCCTGATTTCTTGCTTCTGCGTAACATATGACCTATTCAGATTTTCTGAATGGCCCAACTACAACTGTTACTCTTCATTAGAACTACCCCGAACATTTTTTAAAGGTTGACATTTCAATGGAATACAAAAAGAAAAAAATGTTTATATTGGAATTTTTTTTCAAGCTTTTTCCCCTGATTTTGCAACCAATTTTAGCTACACATTGATGAATGCACATCAGATAAGTGTGTACAAAATTAGCAGTTTTATACTACTTGATTTGCCATTTGAATGCACAATTATTTACAAAAAGAACAGCCCAGTAGCTCAACCTTTTGGCAAGCTATGAGCAGTTGAAAAAAGGGTCTTAAGGAAAAATCCCAGTCGCATGAAAGCTGGTGGCAACATTCCCACTGATTTCAATGGAAACAGAATGACATCCTTAGAGTGGAAATGTTTTGGCAACTTTACCTTCAGTGAATTTTAATGCCAATGTGCACAGAAGAGTAATTCAATTATGTGAGGTATCAGAAGTCAAAATTCTGTTCTCAGAATCCATTCTAAATCCACTAGCTGCTCCAGTGGAGTTAGTCTGGATTTCTACTGGTGTTTATGAGAAACAAATCTTGCCACAGAAATTGTTTATGATTATATTTGGCAATAAATTCCACCATGAGGTAAGAACTACTTCCTCACTCAAGAATAGCCCCTCTAGTATAAGGAATTACAAGGTTTCAAAACTAATATGCTGTCCAGTACTAGGAAATATTCTTTTCATCTCTGAAGATTCAAGAGCCACAAGGGTTATTTTCAAGGGCTTCATATATTGGAATTAATGCTAAATCAAAAATTCCACCTGTCACGGAACTTGACTGGAGTTGGACCAAGATGTAGCTTGTTGGAGTCATCCAGATGGCAGATCATTTTTTCACCACCAAATCATGACTGCAAGGATGTAAATCATAAGAATTACAACAAAGAAAGTAATGAATGTGCACCAAGGGAACTCTGACTTGAATCTACTCTGAAGTCATCACTACAACAAAGCCCTTTCCAAGAGGTGCACCAGCAAGATCCACTATTGAACTGTGCTCCCTGCAATGAGATGAAAAATGTGCCACATTTCTCTGTTTTCTGTCCAAATATTCATTTATTTTCATGTAACATGAGCCTGCTAAATGTCTTTGCTTTCAAGGTTCTCAATATGTTTTCTATTCACTTAAGATCATGCTTTTAATAGTTGGATGTGAAGCAAGATCCTGTGGAGTGTAAGTGTAAAACCTACAAGTGCTTGGAAATTCAATCCTCTCAATATTTATGGTTAGCATTAAATATTTCATGCAAAAATAATGACTTCAGCTCCCAGGGTTTCTCTCCATTATCTCCAAAACTGTTCATACATATGCTTAGGGAGCTCTATGTAAACATAAAAAGGGGAATTTGCTGTATGTACAGTAAGTTTTGCTTTACAGCATGTACACTAGAAATCACTGAGATCCCTTTTATTACAAACAGATCCCCGTTTACTAAATCTTCTAAAGCTTTCCTTTTCTTGACTATCATTGAAGTGTAAGAATTTATATTCCCCTTATAGGAAATTGAAATCAAATATATTTTATAAAAGACCCCACATCAAGGAATCCAAAATTCTTCTCTGTCCAAACACACAAATTGTTTTAAAATGAAAATATCAACCCCCTCAATTTTTTTAAAGGTGCATCAGGACCTTTTCTCACCATTTTGTTATGTTAAATGGAGGAGGCTACTCTTAAAGAGTCCTTCATGATGTAAAATAAAAATCTTAATTCAGCCTGCGGAGAGGGAGGGACTACATATGTTGCAGGAATCAGTGAAGAGAGATGAAGAGAGGTGACTTCTGTGCTACACTGCCTCCAACTTCCCTCTTATCCATTTTAACTTCTCTGGAATGATTGCAAAGGTCAAACCCACTGACATTTCGTTCAGTTTTTACTGCAGTTTCACAAGGATGAAAGCAAGGATGTGTTGGCAAAATGAAGGGTACAGAGAGCATAGGGCTTTGCAGACAGCATGGCATTATGGCCACTGACCTTGTCACTTCTTGTTTTGTTTCAGTTATTGTCATTTTTCACCTTTAAAATAATCAAAAACATAAAACACCAGAGAACATTTAAAAATCATCCTCTTGCAATGCATAACGGCACCCTACTTGGATTCAACATAAGAACAGCCAGGATGGAAAATACCCTTATAGTTCTGTTGGGGTTCAGGACCAAAGTACTGTAGCTGGAGAAGCAGGATGTTGGCTGCTGTGGTTCCCCTGCTTTTCCTGTGGCAGATTAGGGTGTTCTGTCTGCATTGTCAGGGTTGAGTGTAGTTGTACGAAGAGTTTAGATGATGGATTTGCATGGGCTGGTTTGAAGTGGGATGATCCAGCCTCAGACTGGGGGTTGGACAGTGCTGGAGGTCCCTTCCAGCCCTACTTCTCTGTGATTCTATCTTTCTATGTTAACCGACAAAGCCAGAGCTGCTGCGGAGATTCACAAGGGAAGGGAATCCAAAAAAGCGCAACACAGATCACTCACATCAGTACAGCATTGCACTAGACTCTAAGAAAACCCTCAGTGTCTTTCTTCATAAACTGACACCCCAGTGAATAAAGAGCCAGCCTTGACCTGATCCAGCTCTGTCCAAGACTTTTCCAAGCATCTAAGCACTTCAAAGTCAGTTGCTCCAGTGCTGCAGTGATAGGCAGCCTTTAAATGCTGAATGGCCAGAAGGACAAGGGAGAAGCATAACTCCTGGGGTGGATGCCAGGTAGTTGGTTATCAGTGGGGATCCTGGTTTTCTCTGATTTTAAAAAAAAAATCTCAGTTTTCAGATTAAAAAAGTAACCCAAAATCCACATTTTTCCATGATCAAAATGAAACACCACTAATATACGTGTGTGTGTGTGTGTGTGTGTGTGTGTGTGTGTGTGTGTGTGTGTGTGTGTGTATCTATCTATCTATATATTAGTGGTGTTTCATTTTGATCATGGAAAAATGTGGATTTTGGGTTACTTTTTTAATCTGAAAACTGACTTTTATTTAAAAATTGGGAATTTTTTTTTAATCAGAGAAAACCAGGATCCCCACTGATAACCAACTACCTGGCATCCACCCCAGGAGTTATGTTTCTCCCTTGTCCTTCTGGCCATCCAGAATTTAAAGGCTGCCTATCACTGCAGTATCACTGAAGCAACTGACTTTGAAGTGCTTAGATGCTTGGAAAAGCCTTGGACAGAGCTGGATCAGGTGAAGGCTGATATATATAGATAGATAGATATATAGATATGTAGATATATATATAATATCAACCTTCACCTGATCCTTCACCGCTATATATGCATATATATATATTAGCAGTATTTCATTTTGAACATGGAAAAATGTGGATTTTGGGTTACTTTTTTAGATCTAACAATTGGGGATTTTTTTATCAGAGAAAACCAGGATCCCTGGTTATCAGTGGACCACAACTAGGGTAGGAAGTGGAGAAGAGAATCACTGCCCAGGGAATGCAGCTACCCTCACTGGAGATGGGCAGGACGTTGGGTCTAATCCCCTGTCGCCCATGAAAACTGCCACAGGACTCTTTAGTTGGTTTCACGTCCCATCAGAAAGACTGGGCTCCAGAAGCCCAGCATCTCCCCAGCCCCCCAGCCTTGGCTTGTCTGGTCCATGCCGATGGTGTTCGCCCTAAGGAATCGGAGAGGTCAGTCGTTGCCAAGAAATCGGCACACTTAAGCTTCCACGGGCAGAGAAAAGGAGTGTGATGGGCACTCCTCCAGGCAGGGCACCGTTGGCAAGATCGCTGCCCGCTTGGCCAGGCCGGTTGCTATGGGACAGGAAAGCGCAACACACTGACCGCTGCGGTCAGGCGGAGGGCGGAGGAGCCGGAGCCGCGTTGCTGCAGGTGAGTGAAAGGCGCAGGGCCGCCCGGCCCCTTTGCTGCGGATGCCAGAACGCTGGGATAATGCTTTGGAACGCCGAGATAATGTTTTAGAACGCTGGGGTAAGGCTTTAGAACGCTGGAGTAGCGAGGATTCGGAACGCAGCTGCGCCACGGGGTGGGAAAGCTGAGACGGGGCGTAATGGGGCTTGGGCTAGAACTTGATCTGGAGCGGGGCTGAGTGGTCAGGAGAGACGGGGGGACAGCAAGGAAGGGAGTAAAGAATGGACCCCTCTCATTTCTGAATCAGCGAGAGCTGCTCTCCTCTCATCAGTTCTTGATGTCACTGGAAGGCAGACTCTGGAAAGAAAGGGAAGTGAGTTTGCAGGCTGGCAAAAAAACGGGGAAATCCTATTGGGAAGTGAGAGGCTGGTCGAGAAGGAGGGATCTCTGTTCGGAAACTCTTGGACGGGTTTGAATAAGGCTCCTTTTGATGTTAAGGTAAATAGTTGCATTCTATGAAGACAACTTTCTGAGCAGTTGTTACTGGAAGAAGTTTCATGGGACTCTAGATATCGAACATGGTGGCTACTGTATCATTAATTACTGTTATATTTCATGGATTCCCCAGCTTTTATTGACCTTCTCCAAAATTTGCCCTTCACAATCTTGATTTAAAATAAAAACCTTCCCAAAAGATGGCCAGAACAGGTAAAAAGTTGAGGGTTTCTCAAAGGCCAAGTAAATTGGAGGGGAAACTACTAGGTAGGATGAAGACTGGGATATATTTTAGAGAGCTCAGCAACATCTACACAAAGGCAGAGTTCAGTGAAAAGAAGTGGCAAAAATTGGCAGGCCCATATTGCACTAGACTTTTTCAAAAAAATCTCTCCCCCTCCTCAAACAAAGGCAACAGCCTACATAGACGGACAGTGCTTTGATGGATAACCCTAAATTACAGGACTAGGATATCCATCTGTTTGCATTGTTGTACTCTGTCTGTTCCTTTGAGAATAGGAGTCATGTCTATCTCACAAGTCTTGAAAGAATAGAGCAGACCCAGGTAGGTACATTGCACTGTTCAGAACAAACAGAGTAAACCATCCTTCTGGGTATATATATATATATGTATCTAAACACAGAAAACAGGTCTTCATCTGAAGCATGGTAATATACACAGCATCTCTTTAAAACTTTTTAAAATAATGCATAATGCAAGCTTGTTAGAGCAGTGAACATTTCTCGCAATTTTTGGCTGACTCAAAGAGATCTAGAGAAGTGGATTCTAGAATCACAAGTGTCAGCTGTTTGTGTTTTTCAGGAATATCTCTAGGAGTAGGAGCAGGTGGGTTTGGCATGTGGGTGGATTTAATAGTATCCAACTTTCTTCATAGTTGTTCCTGGTTCAGACTGAACTCTGGTAGAATTATGCTGCTGATTCTTTAACATCTGGTTATAGAAGAAAGTTTTGAAAAATTGCGTCTTTGTGAGATCTGCTCATAATACTGGTTTTCTAGGTCCATATTTTGGGGGCCCTGAATGATGAGGTGACTCATTGCTGCCAGTGAAAACTTAGAATAATTACACTGATTTAGTTATAATTGCTGCACAATCTTACAGTATAAATAGAACTAGAAACTGCCCCACAGTTTCAACATGTAGTCCTTACCTCTGGTATGTTTTAGTCTGACTTCTGACTTAAGTCCCAGCATTTTATGAGGTATGGGACAAATTTGATTTTTATTGCTATATTTGGGGTGTTGGAGCACAATGAGACTTGCTGTATTGTGGTTTTCATGCATAAGGACTGAAGAATTGGGCCCTAGTAGGGAAGAAATTATACAGTGTTATATAGGTCTGATTTTTTCACTTTTATAGTGTAAATTGTCACAACCCAAAGTTGTGATTTTTGTTTTTGTGTGTGCTTTGGCACCACTGAATTATTTTCCCGCTAAATTGCAGCTTCTTTGCACGGTGGAGTTTTCTGCTGTAAAGGAGAACCCCAGTGCAAGGGAGAATTTCCCGCCAATTTGTAGCTTTCTTTGCATGGTGCATTTCTTTTGCATCTAAGAAATGCTCGGTGCAAAGAGTTCCCGCCATTTGTATTTTAATTCGAGCCCCATTATTGGCTTGTGTTAAATTATGCATACGTGGCAGCTAGCGATTGGCTTGCTAGCCGTATAAGAGGCTTGGGTAGTTTCCGCCCAAGTTGGAGAACTCTGAGGAGAACCCCCGCAAGGGAGGACTCCACGAACACCAGGAGGAGGAGACTTCACGCTGTGTGAAGATCTCTAAGCGCTGCGGAGCCTATCGGACCCAGCGCACTTAAAGCAGGCAACAGGGGTCTGATCAGCCTCTAGCCTCTCCCCGTCACCGAGCGCAAACCTCGACGTATCCCTCTCCCTGCGCGCACAAGGACCCACGGAGCCTAGCAAACTTCGTGTGAGTCTATTCAGAGCTCTTTGTCTCGAGTACTTTCTTCGGTTGGTGCGACGGGCTCACGGTTTAGAGCCTCCAACCAGATGGGCTAGAAGAGTGTTCACGGGAAGGAACTCTAGTCCGCCTCTTATCTTTTCTATCTGCAACTGTAACTCAAGCAAGTTTTCCTGCCTGCACCGCGACCATCTTTGGTGTAAGTAAACAATCTTTAAATCAACCACTACGCCTCTGTGACTAATTCTAGCCCGTGCGTGCCTTGCTGCCGCACGGTCTCCTCTGACCCCGCGTGCCCGGGCTGCTGGCCACAGCCCGCGTGCGCAAAGACGGGTTCGCATATCGCTCCCGGCTCGCACATGGCGGCCTGGGTGGGATCGGGAGGCGGCCTGCACATAAATAAGGAGTAACTCTGCTGAAGTTAGCAGAGTTCTTCTGAGGTAAAACTCGTGTGAGAGATGCATGAGGCCCAGTTTATGGAAATGAATCAAAACCATTTCTACCTGTAGTTTGCTGCAGTGTGGGAAATCAAAATCATGCATTTGCAGATAGCAATAACTTCAGCTTATATTTCTGACTCACACCAGAAATGTTACTTGAAGCTGAATATAATAAATCTTCTACGGTGCTATCAGATTAGTGTTTTCTACTTTCAAAGCAGGAAATATTTGAAAATGTTATTTGGGAAATTCTTTGCATTCCAACTATCTAGCAGCAGCTTACTTCTGTTCTGCTTTGACATGAATAAAAAAAATACATTGATAGCTTCAATTTATGGACTGATCTATTAACTTTTATTATGCCATATAATTGGTTTCCTGTTCAATGGTGATGTTTCCAAAAGAATATTTTAAAAACTTGAGTTTCTTAACCATCTGTAAAATATGTGCCCAGTCTACTCTGAGACTCACTGATACAACTTGACATTTAAATACCAGTGACAGATGATTTAAAATTCCCCAGATGGAGATTTATAGCCTGTTCTGTACTTCCTTGCACCTGTAGGTCCATGGAAAATGCATGCAAAGGAGGTGTGAAAGTTACTATTCCAGTTTATTAGCATTTTGCACCCATTTTGCATGGCCACCAATGCCTGCATGTTTGTGAATGGATGGAGACACTGGTTCAAAGATTAAAATCTCCATTAGGTCAAATACTACTGAGTAACACCAGAATCATCTGATACGATTACTTATGTTCAGGGGCACCTGATTCACCAAGGGATTTCTGTAATTTCGCTAGGAATCCACACAATATAGGGGCTGGACTAGATGATCTTCTGAGGTTCCTTCCAGCCCTACTTTCCTATGAACCTGTGAATGCAGGTCTTATTCCACCTGAGTAAAAGGTCCAAAAATAACTTGGATGCTATGGGGTAAATTGCTGAGGTTTTGCAGGCTGGATCTGAATATCACTGGTATAGATCATAGAAATGATTAAGATGGACCTCAAGGTTTAGCTGATCCAACTCCCTGCACAAAA